CAATTCGAGCCCAAAGGATGCAGAGAGTCTCTTGATGCTGTTTTTGCGCAGACATCCACTCGACCTCCTTCTTGGCCTGTTCCTCCTTCAACCTGGTGAGCTCCGCCTGGGCTTTCTGGACCTTGATAGAGGCCTTCAGCTCCACGTCCTGGGTATATGACTGTTCTAGAGATGAGAACCTAGAAAATATCAACACATAAGAAGCAACAAAGTACAAGGCTTACCCTTAGCTGGCCGTCGAAGATAGAAGCTTGGTTCAGCAGCCCGGACCATGACCTCATCAACCCAACAAACTCTAGACTATATGTCTACAGCTGGGTACCAGGTCCAGTAACTGGGATGACGTCATCCTCCTCCGCTTGCTAGGCACTTGTCATCGGCATATCTAGGGCTAGAGCACTCAGCTCAGCGGCGCTTGGGTCAACCCTCGCATTCCGCACATCTTCATCAGTAGTAGCCTCTGCAGGCTCTGGCCCCAGTGGCTGGTGCGCTTCATCATCAACAAGCACCGCCACCTGTGGCTGTGGCACCTCCACACCCTCTGCAGTACCCGGCTGCGCAAGTTGCTCCACTTCACCATCAGTGGAGACATAGGCCCGCTTGCCTGGCCTTTTTCCACCCGGTCACCATCAGTACACTGATTCTCTTCAACCCAGGGCTCTTCACTCTGTGCCTGAGTACTCAGTGTCTTTTTTACCCTGGTATAAGTAGCAGTCAAGTGATGTCCTGGGAATGAAGTAACATATAGAGGAAACTTCGACACTTACTTAGCACTGGATCTCTTCTTCAGGGTGGGCTTTCCTAGTAATATTCCACTAAATGATCGACCCAGCTCCAGACTTGATACTGATGCTGACATCACTAAGTCCTTCCGATGACTTGTAGTGCTAGCACCCTGTCCAAGTGCGATCCCGTCACTCTGAGTTGGCACTCGGGTGCTCAACAGGTCTGGTGGTGGCATCCTGCCAAGAGCAAATAAACATCACCAAGTATACCTATGTTAGAATTCAGTAACAGAATTTTACTCGGAAAGAATACTTACTGTCTGACAGAAAACGAGGTGTCTTCCTCCTCTTTCAGCTTTTCCTCCACAGCGTCATGTGCAGTAGCTGTTCAAGAATTGGATTTAACACAAGGTAAAATTCAGACTACATGGATATAGTTCAGACATCTTTTACTTAGTCTCAGTGTGCAAGCTCGACGGGGCCTCTTGGGCACTGCCCTGCTCCCGACGGCAACATCGGCCTCCAATGATCGTTTCCCGCCAGCGGCTCCCTGCCTGGCACTTGGGTTTGCCTGGACTATGACGACGTCCGGGCTCCCTTTAGATTCTCTCCCGACTTCCTGGTCCACAGGGACGGCGGAGGCAGCGCTCCCTCCGTCTGCTCCAACACTTCGCTTCTTCTACAACTTCTGAGCCACCATATTTGCAAGCTTCAACCTCTGAGCCACTTCACTTCTCCTACAACTAAGGTTCAAGTGCTCGCCAAGAGGGTTTTTATAGGTGTCTCGGTGTTGTGTATGGACTAGGTTCACGCGGAATACATGGACAAGCTACTAACTCCTACACAGGTTCACGTGCTACACTACAAGGGTACAGTGCATCCCACTACACATTTTCAGTGTACAGACAGCCTTCTTCCAACACATGTGAAGTCACAGTACAATCGGTACCACCTTTGATGGTATATTCCCACGAATATCCTGAGCATCTTTGGACCAACTGTACTAAAGCTTTGTATGTGACTTCGACATGTCTTACCTGCTTCTATACAAGTAGACAGGGCAATAATTTTCGCTGACACTCTCATTCTCGAGTACATTCTTTTCAGATCCTTGTCTTGAGTACAAATACTCAGACACAGGCTCGAGGGCTGCAAGCTTTGTTTTGCAAACAACAAGAGGCTCAGGGGCTACACTCAGTGACTACACTTTTCTGAAAAGTGCACATCACCTGGAGGCTTTATAGAGCACCTCATAGCTTCACTCATGAAAACACTCGGACTACGCTTGTTTCTACTTGGCAAGACCAAGAGGAACAAGAAGGCTTCCGAGTTCAACCATGACACGCTCGGGGGCTTGACGGACTAGGGTCCTAGGGGTTCCCCACGGGGTACTACATGGATGGGCCCTGGGATGGCCCATGATCTGTTGAAGGACGCGAGACAAGGTGGCGTGGATTTCAAGCTATTCAGATCGACTTAGTCGGCTTATTACGAAAGCTAGATTCTGTAATATGATTAGGACTCTTCTCTTGTAACCGACTAGGACTAGATACGTGCCCTTACCCTCTCCCCTACATAAAGAGAGGTATGGTGCACCCCCTTGCAACCCTAACAATCATACAATCAATCCAACGCAAAATGCTACACGCCGACTAGACATAAAGGCTGTTACTCGACAAGAGGGCCCGAACTAGTATGAATCGTTCGTCTCTTTGTGTTTACTGTCAAGTTCTGCGTACGCCAAAGCCTTTCGAACACCGTCCTAGGTACCCCCATGACGAGTTACCGGTCATCAAACACCGACACATACCCAGTGGCACCAAAGCCGGTTACGCTAGTTGACATAGCGCTGTTGTTGTAGTTGTCCCCCTTGGTGCAGTGCAAAAGAGTTGCACGGGAAGTAGAGAGACTCGTGGATAGATCGAGCAGTCGTGTCACTTGTGGACGCTCCCCAAAAACCTGATAGTCGCCCTTCACCCGAGCAGATGAACGTAGAGATGGATTGGTTTCGAAGGGGTTTCGGAGGTCCGCTCTCTCTATTCGCGCAGACAGGACGGGGAGAATACTAGTTGCAATAGAAACAATACATGTGTTTGCACAAGAAGAAAAAACTGAATGACAGGATGAGTCTATTATCTCGCCCACTCCCACGGAAGTCCAAAGGTCTCACGGAAGTGGAACAATCAAGCGCTGGGGCCAGCTGTGCGGAAGACCAAAAGGCAGAAGAGCGAAAGAGATGCTCACAGAACAAACTCTCAGCGAAGTGGAACAGTGCTCACGAAAGAAACTCCTGGCGTTGGGGCCAGCCGTGCGGAAGACCAGAAGGCAAAAGCGAAAGAGACGCTAGCCATGCGGAAGACTAGAAGGCACAAGCGGAAGAGACGCTCATGGAAGAAACCCAGAAGGCAGAAGCGGAAGAAACGCTCATGGAAGAAACTACCGTCATCACTAGCAGAAACTTCCGAAACTCTTGTCGTCAACTGGCTTAAGTGGCAAAACTAAACCCGCAGCCCGCACTAAATAAGTTGCGACATAAGACAAAAGGATGACATGGCAAGAATTTTATGAAGGGAGAGGAGATGAGTTTTCACTAGGATGAAGCTGAGTGCACAATTTCCAAGGCAATGGAACGTGTTGAAACTGACATTGAGGGCTAGAGAGTTTCATTTCATCTATCTTTCTGTGCTCAATCATGTTCGTCGTAATTAAATGTTATGAGTTATGAAACAGTGAAATGAAATTGAGCACTAAAAGAATCTATTTTATTCACTAGTTCTAACCCCTTTGTAGTTGATACGACAGTCTTGGAAACCATACAATGCAACTTGATACTAAGGATTTCTTCTCTCTCCTCAACTCGAATGTTGCATGATCGTTTTGCTTACATAGCACCATTAATGCTATAGAAACCATCATAGTTATCTCGTTAGGATTGCATGCCTTAGAGACATATACCATCTACTCCCTCCCTCTCAAAAAAGGAAGTGATGTTTTAGAATGTTTAGGACAAATTAGTACTCAATTGAAATTATTCATGTAACCCTATTTATTGAAGGTATGGTGATCCATACTACTCAAGGAATAAGCTACTAATTAAAAGATATACATGGAGACATGCAGGCTACAATCTCAAGCTGGTGTGGATCCCAAGAACTAAAACATCAAATTTTTTGGGACAATTTTGAGCCCTAAACCAAGGGTTTATTGGACACAGGGAGTACAATGCATAGTATCATACTTTAACATCCAAAAGGCAATTAATTATTATGGTAAAAAATGTTATATTTTCAGGTAATTTGATAGAGATCCTGATTAGTTAGAGCGGGTAGACCCAAACCAATTATTGGTTAAACATGTAGCTCCAAAGCAAAGTAAGCTGGCTAGGAAAAAAAAGAGAGAGGAATACAGAAAAACAACTACTTCTCCATAGGCCAAAGCAAACAGAATAAAGATCACGAGTGAATGGGAAGTGATGCAACGGATATGACGCAGGCACATGATGTTCGCGCTAAGAGTAGGGACAGATCTAGGGATTTATCAAGGTCTATTGACCCTAAAAAATCTGTAAATCCTTTAGTAGTGTTGTAATTTAAAGAAAAATTATGTCCGAGTGCATATAAGCCGACCATTTTGTGTGTACTTCACAAGACCATTTTGTGTGCACTTTACAATACGAATGAGCGTGACGCTCGTCTTTATTTGGCGATATCAGTTACCATTCTTATCATGTAGGGCTCAGAATCACCAGGGTATGTGTCTCATAACCATGATCCATGACGAGAAGCTAAATTGTCAAGACACTGAATTCTGAAACGTACAGTTCAGAGTTAAAGTCACGCATGTTGACACTTTTGAGACTCTTTATAACATTTCGGAGAAAAGAGCCTTCTGTTTTTTTACAACACAAAAAAAGAAGAAGAAAAACATCACCACGGGTACAACATACATCTCCGTTAAAGCATACACAGGACAGAGGAAACATAGTAGTAGAATCTCCGAGCACAAAGCTACACCTAGTTCGTAGAACGGAGAAAAAAAGGTGGCTCTGGCAGTAAACACAAGAACGAAACACAATATAGTGGTGCTGAGAAGCTCCAGACTTCAATCACCATGTAAAGCATTTGACGGGGCCTGACTTTATTAGTAGTACCTACGCCAGTATTCGATCACAGGATCGAGAGGGATCATGCATCGGTTGATGCCTGGGTCACCAAAGCGTGTCGATGGCAGGTGTGTTGCTGTCGAGTCCAGCAGCAAAACTGCATTGGGAAGAGCTCACCTGTTACTGACAGTGAGGTGCATCCATGGTGGCAGGTTGCCGCTGTTTGCTTGTACAGGAGCAGGAGACGGTTCAGGCTCAGATTCTCCTGCCCCTCTAGGTTGACATGGCCTACAATTGTGACGATGAGGAAATTAAGTAATTATGCTGGACCACTATTGTAAAGTGCAGTGCACAATGGAAATACCTTTGACAGATTTAGCTAGCAAGGTGAAACCTTATTCTGTTTTCAGGTATGCTTAGCATTCAGCAAAGCTACTCAGGCATGTGTATTTCTACCTTTAACCAATACCCTTCATAAATTCTTCATTTATTAACAAATCTTGGCATAGTTAATCATCAGTGAAACTACTACTTATTATCAATATTTTTTGATAGAAATGAAGCGCAACATTTCAGTTTAGTTGTGTGCAGTAATGAATTCAGTGGAAGCATGATACCCAATATTTAGAGTTGGCATGGAATCTGGAACCATTGGTGGTGACAGTGATGGGGAGCTTGTTGATGCTCCATTTTGCTGCTCCCGGAGGTGTGCGTTCATTAAAGCATTGTTTTTCTCCTTCTCTGCCTCCATGAGCTGTTTTCAAAAATACAATTACCATCAGGGTCTGACCTCCTAGACCAACATTGTCTTTTTTTTTGAGAGGACATAAACGAGAAAGGAAACTTTACCTTTGCAGGACACCATTTTGATCTGTAAGTGCTTTCTCCTGCACACATGAAGACAATTGATTGTAAAGATGCACCACAAATCTTATCAGCAATCAATATTCTGGGATTCTTACAGGTTTGTTGCCAGACCAGCAATAGTTACCACAACTAGTCTGCTCAAGCACTTCGACCTGAGTGCTTTCTTTCTCATTATCCTTTTCACTATTTCATGGTAAAATGCCACTCATAGTAAGCCATTTCCTAAGTTTAGGGCGTCCACCGGAGATCAGTTTCACGTCCAATTCAAACTAACTCATTTCATGCCCCCTCCCCCCTATTCCACCCATGATGCAATGGTTATCAGTTTGTCCTGTCTCCCACTTGAAAACTAACTTGCATTTCCTAAAAATATCGAAGGGTGACCCACACAGATTCACGTCTTCCACTGATGTGTTCCCTATCTGAGACTTGTACAGATAGAGACAAAACTTGATTCTGGTTTAGAGTATATTTCTTACAGTTACGTTCAAAATATATTTCTGTAGCAGTTGCATGATGAATGGTGGCAGCAGATTGCCAATGTTAAACTACATTGAAAATACATTAATCTCAATGAAACATTTGCTCTCATTCCCCAAATTCTGAAGGTGTGCTTGTAACAATAATTTTCACTAGTGACTCATGTAACACATGCAGAATGCGAGGTACAAGGGAATCTAGAGTGTAACTGACCTTTTTCTGAAGCTCGGAAATTGAATCGAACATGAGCTGATTCTGTACCAAAAAAACAAAGCTATAATATAATAATTGACTAAGACGTTAGTGAATAACCAAATTAGCTGCGCACTGAACAACAAATTTAACCCCAATTTATTCACCTTTCTTGACCTAATATGCTTCAAAGAACTGTCCAATTGTTGCTCCAGTTGCTGGAGTTCTTTTATGGTCAGTGAATCCAATTGTTCTCCTTACAGATGCCTTCCGTTGGGAATAGACAGATACAATAAGTCAGAGTCAGTAAACATTATCATAACAAGGGTCATCTTGAGCAAGTCTGCTGTACCTTTGACTCTTCTGAAGTGCATCAAGTTTGGATTTTAACCGGACATATTCATCTCCCCAATTTGCCTGGTATAAAATGGACCACATATCAATGCTCATTTTGCTGTAACAATAGTTCTCTGATAGTTATAGTAGATATTCCCATAACTATACCTGGTCTTCAATACTTGGGTCAAGTACTGCTCTTTCTTCAAATGAGTACCGCTGGTAACGCCCAAGAATGCCTTCCTTGCTGCAAAATAAGTATCATATAGCAACGTCATGTTCCAGCAAAAAATATTGTGGTCTCATTTTAGAACATAAAATACTAAGACAAATAGCCAGGTATAATTTTCTTTTTCTTGTACTTTTTATATTACTATATTAAGTATATTAGTCTTGCATACGAGTACAAAACAACAAAATTCACGATGCACGACATTCAATACATCAAGATTTAATTTCTCCCTATTTAAGAAATGCAAGATGCCAAGATGTATACAAGTATATTCTCCCGATTCCAGAACCAGAATTGCAGAAGACATTGGATGAATCACATGCATAACTAGATGCAAGCATGGTTGTGGAAAAACGTGTGTCATCACATGCACATAAGTGGGTTATTACTCAATGAACAAATGGTGCTTCATATATAGTTGCATGAACTCAGAAAGGCTGTTTTAGAACAATGAAACAAGTCAAGACTACATAATGATGTAAAAATAACTCTAAAATGTAGCGAGCTACTCAGTTGCTTGCGCAACCAAAAATTTACATCACTTTGACACTATAATCAGGTGGATCGATTTAATATAATCTTTTAGATAGATTTGGCATCTACCTTCTTTGTTGGGATTGAGCAGTAAAGTTTGTAACATCTTCAGTAAATTAGCAAAAGTATAGTGATATATACATTTTTTAGGAATCGGTTAATATTCTCAATTCAGACTCGTAATTGTAATTAGCACAGTTTTCTATAATCCACAACATATAAAAATGGCTCTACCTTAAACCACGTCATATTATTTTTTCTAAAATAAAATTCATTACCGGCTTAGGTACGACCTGTGTAGTTCAGCTAAAGAAAATGCATCAAGTTTTGCCATGACTCAAGCCACAATCTCTATCAAGTTTGGATCTTATCACCAGCACATATTGCTCGTGTGCAATAGCTAAAACGCGCTTATTGTTTTGTTAACATACATATTTTCTCTCCAGCATTAGAGAGATAATCCAGAGTAAGTTATCTTTCAGTGAAATTTTCCCTGAATCAATCAGTTATATATGAATATACTGCAAGGACAGAATATGTACTCATGCCAATTTATTCTCCTAGAATCTAACTTGTAGCAGCATAAGGTCAAATTGTGCTATAATCAAGCATCCATTTTCTATCATAGCCGTGTTGTTTACTTACTAAATAAAGGAACTAAACTTGAAACTGTACTTGAATATGGGCCAAAGAATCAAACTAATGTTTAAATATTACGATCACCTTGCACACCACTTATATAATACTAAAATGTGGAACACGGACAGTCTCTTAATATATGACACACATGCATGTATCAGAGACACACCACGCAAGAGCAGAATTGTTCTTCTAGAATTTCTGAAAATATTCGGATAAGTCATAACAGTTGTCCATAACTCTTCTACAGCATGGCAGCAACAGCTGTTTCTATAGAAACTAGCTTCTTGGAGTGCGGCAATCTAGCATTTTGGTATTACCCTAGTATTGGTACTTGATTTAAACATGTATGTTTTATAGCGTGAATTAACATTATTAACATTTATGTCAAAAGGTCACAGCAGTTTAAGTTCAAAGGGCCAGTACTTAGAGCGAAAGGTTGGTCTACGAGATCATACATTAAACCACTACTGGTATACGAGGATTCTGATGTTGAGCTAAGTGTCATGGTTAATATTTACAGCAGAATCATAATCAGGATAGTTCAAATATTTCCTCAAAATATCATTCCAAGGATGGCTACACAGGTAAGCAGCTTATCCCATGTATGGAGTGATCAATACTTTATACGTATACCATGTAAAGGCAATAATGTGCCTAGCTTACCTTGTCCCTTGTATGCAATGATCAATGCTTTATACACCATGTAAAGGCAATGTGCCTAAGCAATTTTGTCGGAGAATAATTTACCATATATTGCTTATAGGATGGAATACAGGAAGAATGAGTTTGCCTTATACTTTATTCACTTATACCAACAACTGTTTAAGAAAGATCATGGTATCATTACTAACCTGAAAAGAGTAGAAGGGTCACCTTATAGTGAAGAGGCACTCCAAAGATGGAGGTATATGAAATCGTGGTATCAAAGCTGGCAAAGGTAGTTCAAGCCAGCGCTCAAGGGTTAATACCATCTATGGCACCACAAACAGTATCAGAATAAATATGGCAAAAGCTATTTCGTGACCATCAGTCGCGCTCCTGCGTCTGAGTGACCGCGCGACTCGCGTGGCGCGGCCTGGCCTGCTTGCATAAGTACGCGGCCTGGACGCTTGCACCTGCGTCTCGCGTACATACGGCATGGCCTGCTTGCATGCGTGACTCGGCTGCTTGCATGCGCTACGGAGCGTACGGCGGCAGTATTGCGACGCCGTTTTTTTTTACTTTTTGTTTTCTTTAGTTTTCATTTTCTATTTTTCAATTTGAGTTAAATTTCTTGGCTGTCAACTTCAGTTTCAGTCTTTTTTTTTCATTTGTATTTTTTCAATTTCAGTTTAATTTCTTGGTTGTCAACTTCGGTATTTCACTTATTATTTTGAGTGCGTTGTATTTTCAGTTTCTATATTCTAGTTTTCAGTCTTTTTTCCAGTGTTTTTTTAGTTTCAGTTTTCAGTCAAGTTTTTTTTTAGTTTTAGTTTTCAGTCTCCTTTTAGGTTCGAATGTTTTCCTAAATACTGCATATTAATTGCCTCACCTATAATGTATAAGTTGTCAGAAAAGGGTAGCCATTGCACACATAAGCTGCCACAAAAGAATTTGTCTCCCAGCTTGTGCAACAGGTTCCATGTTTAGGTTCGTTGCAATAATTTGCCCTCAAGTTGTACAACCATAGTATTACATGGTAGTAACTCATTTTGATATTTTTGCTCCCCAGCTTGTGCATATTGTGGAATAACATAAGTATATTTTTGAGTAGCAATTTTAGTTTTACATGGTAGTAACTTCTTTTGATATTTTGCCCCCGATCTTGTACTAAAAACTTTATTATATTTTTGAGTAGCAAGTTTAATATTACATGGTAGCAGCTCCTTTCATAAATCTCCTAGCACATTTTTACACATAAATAGTTATTGAAATAAAATTCTTTAAAACATAGGCAAGTGGGGTATAGTTTTGTTCGTCTCAGTCACGTAAAACACGACGGAATTGAAAACGGATACAACATTCAAAAATTATAGCCGTTCAAAGAAAAAACGTTGTGCTTTTTTTTTTGTTTGTTTCAGCTGACAGCTAGCTGGCTGCAAATGGATACTTTCCTAATACGGGATTGGTCGGGTCACGGAGGAGAGGAGTGGAGTCGCGCGGAGGGTGGTCGTGCTCTCTCCTAAAAGCGCGACGGTCGCGCGTTAACATGGCCTAATAAATATGGATGAGGTTGAAAAGTGTAGAGTATCCTAAGCAAATCCTGGTGGCAAATAAATAAGATATTCCAAAGATAAGAGCAGGCGATGCATTATGTAAGAGCCTTCAGTTGTGGCTCCACCTGTAGAGCAGATTCACTTGGAGAGCTGAAACCGTTTTTTGACCGTTTGGCAAAATAGATTCTCCAAATAGGCGAAAAAGGTAAAATATCCAAACTACCCCTTTTTTCTTTTTTTTTTCCTTTCCTTTCGTTTCTTTCTTTTTTCCCTACCTTATTCGTCGCTCGTGGTCCAACCGACGCGCAGCGCGAGACGCAACCTCGGATCCTCTTCTACCTCCTCGGTCGCCGCACGCCATCTCGCCGAGGCTCGCGCCTAGGGTCGCCCGGTGACCCGCGATCTCCTCTTCTACCTCCGGTCGCTGCACGCCATCTCGCCGACGCTTGGTTTAGGTCGCCCGGCGACCCACGCCTCGCAACCCTCTTCTACCTCCAGACGCCGCACGCCATGCCGCCACCCACGCCTGGGGTCCGCCCGGCGACCCACGCTCCCACGGTGGCAGCCCCCGGCGACCAGCGCTCGCTCGGTGGCGGCCCCCGACGACCAGCGCTCGCTCGGCGGCGGCCCTCGACGACCTGCGCTCCTGCGGTCGCGCCCCTGGCGACGCTACTCCTGCACGGCCAGTGGGGGCAAATCTACCATCGTCCTGCGCCTGGACCCACAGCAAGTCACGGAGCCGGGGAAGCTAGTTTTTCTGTCTCCCTCCCTCTCTCCACTCTCCTCTCAGTGCCTTTTCCGGGGCTCCGCGCGAGGAGCGCCTCCATTTTTTGCCTTTTGGTTGAGGGAGCCGAAAAACAACTCCCGGAGCTATCCGAGAATCTATACCAAGCGGCTCCTAAGAACTCATTGGCCCCGGTCGCGTGCCCTTAAACCCGGCTTGATCCGCTTATTTTTTTCATCCGGAATAGTGTTTTTCTCTCACAAATTCCTCCAGCATTCCTCCAAACCTTCCAGATTCCTCCAGAATTCAGACAAGCGAACAGGCCCATTATCTCTAAAGACTGCATATGTTGCATTCATAGGGGATTTATAAATTAATTTTTGTAACACAACATTTAGTAACATGTTTAACATCGAAAGTAAATGCAGATAATCTATAATAATAAATCAAGGTGAGTGCAAACAATTTCCAGGGCAGAAAAATTTATTTATGACAACAATTCCAACAAACTGAGAATAAAACAATTTTGGATAGTGCAGGTGAGTTTGATGCTCCTTGCTTGGCTCTTGGCCTTGCATGGGCCATGGTTCCATGGCACACTTCCATATTGGCACCAATTCCATGCATGCATCCAGGTTGCGTTCAGAATTGATCACTTGGACGATCATACTAAAAAAAGTGTCGAGGACCCACAGATGGAGACAAAACAGGCTCGTAACGGGTCTCTTGAGCCCGTCTCCACGATGTGAATTTTGCGCAAAACACCCCGCCGACGCCAGGAGACGGGCTCGCCGTCGTCTCGTGAGGCGACGGGGAAGTCCCGTGGCCCGAGGCCAAGACGCCGTCTCCAGCAGCGTTGTATGGGTAGCTGGCGTCCCCAACCCGAGGGCGTGGATCCAGTGCGCGCAAGCGGTCGTGGC